AGCTCTCAGGAAGAGGATGGAGGAGTTTGGAACAGAAAAAGGAGTAAATGAGATAAGAATGAAAATTTAAAAGGTAGGGTCAAGGAATATTCTGGTTTTTTATCATAGTGAACGCCAAAATGAAACTAAAGTAAGGGAGGCAATCAGTTGTTTCTTTCACAGGCAATTGGTAAGTTTTGAGTAATAAGTATATACTTACATTGCATGTGCACATACCTCTGTAACCCCAGGGTTTAGGAAACTGGGATGAAATTTGCTTAAAGCCTGTGATCAGCTTAAAGTACCTTTCCCCCAGACATTCTTGCAATTTTGGGTAATTCTAGACTCGTTAAGCACACATGTATGGCAGACAGATGAGGATGTGTTGAATAGATCACAGCTTTAGCAGACTGAGCAAATTTATCTCTCACCTCTATTAGTGAGCAGAATATTTCTCTCTCAAACAGATGACTTCTCCCATCAGTTTTCTGCAAGAAACCTTGTTTCATTTTTCCTACCAATGTGTTCAGATTATCATTCATTGTTGTTGGGCATCATCTTGGTTTTTTCAGTTAAAGCTATCACAGTTGTGTGAGTTGATCACTTCTAAAATGTAATTACTGGGCTGTATTTATTAATCCTACTATAGGAAAATAAGCATGTGACTCACTATTTAGAGTCTTCCACAGCTGGGGCTAAAGACCCAAGGAAGCATTGATCTGCCCAGGTGTTTCCTTGCTTCTTATCCTACCAGCAGTGATGAGCTCACCCTGCAAGGTCTCCTGACCTTGTCTTGGAGCAAAACGTGGAATAAACAGGTAAATGTGGGGTGCACTTTTGTTCTGGACTATTAAAATGTTAAGGATTGTTGGCATATTTTGATTAAAGGAACATATACTGGCTGAAATGTTGTGATGGGCCAGAGGTTGTTAAGGTCTGTGGATGTGAAGAGACATTAAGTGCTTCCATGAAAGTTGTAGTAAGAGAGTGAAAGGAAGGGTAGAGATTCTTCAATAACACAAAAGATTTAAAAGGTTTGTAACTTTCCAGTTTCAGAAGAAATGCAGCTGGTTTTGCCTGTCGTTTGGTTTTTAGTTTTGATGAATATAAGACCATTTTTGATAAACAGGGTTTATGACCTACTTTTAAATTTTAATTTAGAAAATTCTTACAGGATTGATGGCATTATTGGGAGAGATGTTTAGGATCATCATGAGTTGGTTAACAGGGGGAAAGGACAGAGAAATAAACATAATATAATCTGTTTGAATCATCAGTCAATGTCAGTTTTTAAAAAAATATTTTCCTGATAAGAGAATTTTTACAGTTTTTTCTAGATGAAATGCAAGTGGCTTCATCTGCTGCCTTGACTTTTCTAACCTTCAGAGGCTCCTCGAATAAGTCAAAACAAACAATATGTTCCAGTGCTATTTAAACTTTCCTATTTTTTTCTTTAGGAAAGTAGAACTGTATGATGAAGAGAAAGAAATAGTTTTGTTAGTGTCTCATGAGAAGAATAAGTTGGAAAAAAGAAATATAAACTTTATGTCCTGTACTTGCAGCAGTATTTTGTGATTATGTTTTGCTGCCTTTCTGAGAAACAGCACTGGAGATACAGAGGGGAAGGAAAGGGAGGCAGAAGAATTTGCAAGGCCCTATGGAATCTCTTTTTGTGGCGATTTAATAATGCACCATGTAAATGTACTGTATTGTACATTATATACAGTATATTAACCTGATTAACCTGGTTTGTCACTACTGAGATGTGGAGACCGTGCAAGTGTTAATAAAGCGTTGAATTTCAATGCAAGTTAGGTAAAAAAACTCTTTAAATTCTACATTTAACAAGGCAATTTATGCTGGATAATTACGTGGAGACTTGGTTATTTCAGGGCTGCTGTGTGAAGTGAGATTGGGGCTTTAGGTTTGATGTTTGAAAGTATTGTAGCAACAGTTTATGTGTACTGGGAGATTTTTTTGATAGAAAATGCAATGTAATTTTGTAACCATAAGGCATGAACTGAATTAAATATATTTTGGCAATGATACCACTTCACTCTTCAGAGTTGACTTATTACCACCATTACTAATAGTGGGTAGATGGTATTTAAAATGAAATATGGTACATCTTAGTGTTCCAGCGAATAGCAGGAGATAAATTAGTAGATAAATTAGCATATTGACTGGTTGGGTGAAATATGCGTAACAATCAACTCTAGCAATAAATAACTTGAAACAAAATATTTTTCAAGGCATTTTGGAGGTCCTTGTCTAGTTTAGAGTAATCCTACATGGATATAGTTTACTGTGCATTGACTTTGTTAATGTGCTCTCCAAGACATGGGTTCACAAGTTTGATTGAATCAGATTCCTTGCTGCAGTGAGCATCAAATAAACAACAGGTATTAAAAGAGAAGCTAAAACATGATAATGCCACTTTTCTTTTGTGCTTTTCATGGAAAATTTATTAGTCAATAAAGCAAAATCAGAGTTCTGTATAGAGGTAGCTTAACTGTTGATTTCTTTGTACCCAAGCAGGCCCATTTTTTTCATTTTGTATCTGTATTTTTCTGCTTCTGAGAATATCAGTGTATTATTATAGGATGGCCTATCTCTGGCAGGGGCTACAGAGAGCAGGTGGTTGTAATCCCAGCTCCCAGGTGCTTCAAATAAGTAGAGTCAGGTCAACCTGTCACTGTTTTAAGGTGCCACTCCACTAGAAATATTCCTGGCTGCAACTTCTCATCTGACACCTTTTGGATCCACAGCACTGCAGGATGGGAAATAACTAAAAAATTGCCTGTCTTCCCTCCATCACAGGACAAATTCAGCAGCATTTTGCTCGACACAGATATTTCAGGTTTTAATTCTTTTTTTAATCTCGCAGGAAAAAAAAAAAAGGAATACTGATTTTTCCTAGCCATAAAACCTTTTTCTTAAGAAGAATTAAATTCAGATTTCTGAAATAGGAACACTGAAGTATACATTTCCAGGTCTAGTGTATATTGATGCTTGAAGTCTTTATTATTATTTTCTGCAAGAATGCCTTTCTAAATTGAGCATTGTTATTCTTTTAATTAGGCTCTTGTTCTGTGAGCTTTCTGTGGATGTGTTTTGGTCACTGCCTCTCATTGTTCTTGTGTGATGCCCTTTATGAGTCAGTGTGCAGCTCAGGCATCCTCCTGCTTGGCTGGGTCGGTAGCAGGGCTGCAGTCAGGTATCTTCAGTGAGTTTCCAGACACTGTTTCAGGTCAGATGGTTCTTACAGCAGACTTGTCTGGAGCAAAATCATCCACATCTCAAGAATATGCTACAAACCACAGTTTGTGTACTGGGGCATGGGTAAAAGAATGAGAGAACTCTTTTATTCATGTGCATATTGTAACTCTGTGTAAGGTTATGTGTATGTGGGATGGATGTGAAGGACCCTGTTGGTTCTCCAGCATGTCTTGAATTCACATAGCTGGGCTCAGACCTAGCATTTGCTGCTAAATCCTGCTGAGACACACAGCATATTAGTTCAGGCTTAATGATGTGCTAATACAGTTATCTGCTGAAAGGCTTCTCAGAAATTCCTAAGTCACTCTATCTCACCAAAACTTTTCTTTTAGCAGGATTAGGAGCCAGGTAATTCATGGTCAGAGGGTTCTGAGCCTTTCAGTTCTTTTTCTAAGGACATCTTACATAATCCACTGGGCTCCCTTGTGATTAGAGGTGCTGTACTTTGTGCTTTCATGGAGATAGGCATGGCTGGGGAGAGGAGATTTGCTCATTTGTTTGGATCTGGTGTGGTTCCTGGCTGGTTTCTTGATGCAAGGTGTGGAAAAGCTCAATATTGTTTAATATCATAACTCTGTGTGGCTATTTATAAATAAGATATTTTCCAGGAAAATGAAAAAGCTTAATTGTGAAAATATTAATTGTGTTTGTGTCCAACATACAGCTTCATTCCTCAGATTTGCTCCAGTCCTAGCTCTTTAGCCTTGTCAGAAAATAAAGAAACTACTGGTTGGGTAAACCAAGTGAGTGCCCTTAACAGTAGCAGGATATTTCACAGTGCCTTTGAACCTGATCCTTGTCCCTGTGCCTCAGTGTGGAGTGACCAGAGCAGAGGCACATCTTGCCCACTTCCCTGCTGCCTTCACAACTATCACCAGGGACTCATTTTGGTTGAGGATAAAAGCAATAATCACTATTGTCTCAATACCTGGGTAGGTGACACCAAGGGAACAGAACACTTTGGTGACAAGGGAACAGAATACTTTATTCATGAAGATCTGTCCAAGTGAAAGAGGTTTCTAGGGTGAAGAGTGGAGCATTTGCAGTAGGGGCTCATCAAGCAGCAACTTTGGGATCAAATTTCCTGTTTTAAATAAAAAAAATCCAAGGATATTTTTCATGGACCTATTAGTATATCCTATCAGTATTTGTCAGCTGTCTGTGAGGTATTAGGGTGTTGGTAGGGATGGCTTAATTTGGAAGCCTTTCTCAAAAGAGTTAGCGCTCCTGAAGTCATGGTTAGTGGTTCTAGTTACTAAATCCAAGCTTAATATGAGCAATTTATAGGCTGATTTATAGGCTTGTCTTATTGCTATGGTAATATGGTCGGGATGCTCTTGGTTTCTTGGTGTATATTCTTGCAGTATTGCAAGATTTTGGTTTCTTGGTGTATATTCTTGCAGTGTATTGCAGCATTACTGTGCTGTGGTATAATAATGTGCTCAAAATTAAGAGAACATAAAGTCCCTCAAATGACTTAATGAGAGAGACATGCATGGAAAAACTGAACCTTCAGTAGAGAAATGAGAGGAGGAAAAACTTCAAAGGTTATTCTGGATATAGCCAGTTAGTAAGATGTGCTGTCTAATCAGACCTGTTCTGGACTTCCTCTACTGCCCAGTCTGAACTCCCAAGGCCAACCAAATGTCTGATTTTCAGAGCATTTAACAGGTCTTCAATACACACTAATTATCCACAGTTTGAAACCTGTATTAATTTTTCCCTTTCTTTTGTGTTTTTAGGCTGCCTGTTTGAGGATGACCTTTGCAAGTCTTTTGAAGTCTGTGTAAATGGTAAGTCTTCCATGTTTTGTTTGCTGGGTGGTCTGTCCTCCACTCTGTAATTGCTCTATGTTTGATTCAGTAAACCAAATACCTGGGTGAGTGAGAAGAAGGGGAAAAGGAAAACTGCCAGGTATGACTATTCTTGTCAGCAGTTAGGAAAAATGTAATAGATTTAAAAATAAATAAATAAACATTCTCTAAACCTTGAGCAAAACAATTTACTTTTATGTGGGAGAGATTTTAATTTAATTAAGCACACTGAAATATGCTAACATTTAATTTGTCCTAATACAGGTGAAAATAACTGTTTTGTTACTTCCAGTTTGTTCCTCTTTCTAGAGGATTATGTTGAGTAATTATCAGTGTCCTCCTCTTCAAAAGATTGTTATTTTTTATAATAATGAAGTAACTCTCAAAGGAACACTGCAGTTGTTGATTATATTTTTCCTTTTTCTGTGATTTTACTTGAATTATGCAGAAACAGCTTTCTTCTGCTGTCCTGCATAATTTATTTTCAGTAAGTCATGAAAAACAACACACCATATGAATGAGGCTAATGGAATAGTACAAAAGATGTTTTCTCATAATAGTTGAAGATTGGATATGTGCTATATGAAATGATTTCATTCCCAGTGAAGGACAGAGGATGATTTGAGAGGGGTCTTTGAAGCAGTAACTGTTATAAAATGTGTATATGTGATGAAAGGAGGAAGGGAATAGTTTTAATACTGTCTTTTGACATGGAAATATATGGCAATATGTATATCTGCAATAAGGGGGGGTTGCTTTTTTAAACAAAATTTCATATACAATACTTCATTTGTGACTTCATATTGTAAAGGAGAAGTTTTGTATATATTATGCAACAGATTATATCAATTTCTGTACTTTAAGGGATCTCTCCACTGAAGATTTTGCTGTTCCTATAAATGTAACTTCCAAACTTCTTGCTCTACTTGTTTTCTTAAATGAAGATGCAGTTTGTCAAATCTCCATGCAACACTCTTTAGCATGCAGAATTAAATTATGGAAGTTGTATCTTTGAATTTGAATGGACCTTTTCTGTAGAACTACTCATATTTTGGCATAACTAACTTAAAGAAATGTCAGTAATGAATAAGACAGTTGATCAATAATATCTTCTAGTGTCTGATCTTGTTTTAAAAAAATACTTGCAGGGATTCTGTAAAAGCGTCTAAGGCAACTGTAAAATATTTCATTCTTTTTTGTCCCACTGGGAAAATGTTATCTAGAGTGTATTTTAAATGCTTTCCTTGATGCAAGTGAAGATAAACAATTCTTGAGAAAAGAAACAGGATCTCTGGGAGATTGTACATTGAAGTACTAAAAAACCAGCAGAATTTTTTATATGTAGCAGAAAGGAAGTTGGCCCCTTCTGAGCAATCCTTCACATTTTTTCCTGCCCAAGGTGCTGCTGATTCACCTGTATCTCTGGAATTTTTTTAGAAATTCTGATATATTAAAATTTGAGAGCTTTGCTGGGTTGAGAGCTCAGGAGCTGAAGTTTGTGGAGGTCACTGTGCTCAGAAGCAGGGCTTGCTTTGAAAAGGTTTGCCTCCTTTTTGCACACAAGTATTTCTGAAGTACAGTGTGAAAGTGGGTAAGAAACAGCAGCTGCTTTTTGGTAGCATCTGTGATCTGCAGATCTCCTTCTGAATCCTGCAGGAAGGCTGATAATTCTGATCTTTTTCTCTGCTTCCAGCAGAGGCAGAGAAAACTGACCACATTTGCCTACTGAAGACATAAGTCACAGTATTTGCTGTCTCATATCTGTCATCAGCTGTAGATTTCAAGTGTATTTCATGCATCCCTTGTGAAAGCATAACCAAAACACCTATAACTGAGCTATTTCATAGCTTAAAAAACCCCCCCTACTTTTCTTCCCTTCTCATTTCTTCTGAAGAGAGATTTTTACTGAAAGATAAAATTTTGATAAATTTTCCTTTCTGTGAAGAAAAACAATGGTGCTAAAAGAACAGCTTTTGTATTGTTAAAAGCAATGTAATAGTATTGTTAAAAGCAATGTAATAGAATTGTAAGATCTGAGATAAGCAGCATAACTGTTTATATCAGAGATAAGGGCTGCTTACATCTGTTTAGGTCACAAGCCATTTTTTCAGGGCAAAGGACCTGCTGTAATAATGATTGTTGACTTTTCTGCCACTTTCTCTCATTGTATAAAGGTCTCTTGGCTTCAGTGATGGGTTCTTGCTTATGCTTGTTTAATAGCTCCAGCAGCATTCATGCAATATTAATTTATTTCCACAAACCTTTTATCAGTTTTCTGAGCTGCACTGACTCATCAAGTGGTTAAAAAGGAACATATTGTTTCATATTAATTTTAATGGCATAAGGATAAGCCATGCAAAAAGACTGAGTTAGTTTTCCTGGACACTTCCTTTGCAAAGCCAGGACTTTGAGAGGTAAAGTGACTTAGATGTAATTTATTTATTTTTTGGTACATCATTGCTTCTTTCTTAGCGTTGGAGGAACTGACATTTTCACCCATCTAAAATGCTTGAAGCTTGAAAGCCTGCAGCTAAAAAGACTTGATGGGAAAGGTGAATATGCCTGTGAGCTGCAGAGTCTGACAGCAAGTAACCTGGCATACTATAACCATGGAAATGCTTTCCCCCCAATAAATTCTGAAAAGTTGTTACAGATACAACAGGAAGCAAATAACATCTTAATTAAAGAAGATGTATAGAAGGAAAATAATAGTATGAGGAATAGTATTTGCAGTGATGGTATGTGAAGTGACACAGCTGTGGGTAAAGAGGGATATGGCTTTCACACCTTCACATACACTTTGCTATCTGGGTTAGAAGTTCAAGCAAAACTTGTGAGTGTATTTTTATTTTAACACTGCTAGCTCTAGCTCTGCCTAGAATGTGTTTGTATGAAAAGGAAAGAAAAAAGCATCAAGAAGGAATTTTTAGAGGATCTCTGAGACAGAAATCCTTTGCTTACCCTTGAACAGTCCTTGTATTTATATACTAAATTTAGTACAGCTGGATAAGCAGGAATATGTCATGTTTTGTTTTGCATTTTAAGTGACAGATAAAGGAGTTCATGTAAAACATCAACTTGTTTATCTTTCTTGTTGGAAGGTTTAAACAAACTGGCTCCTGTGAACAGCAAAACAAAGACAAGTTCTTATTCTTTCTCATGAAATTGTGCTATTAATTCTAGCAGTGCCACTAGGAAAGACTCCATGTGGTACAGATAAAAGTGTTCATTTCAAAGTAACCATCCCTTATGTCCTGTCTTTATTAAACTGTCTGAACTGCTCATTCAGAAGGGTGGCATTCTTTCCTTTAGCTTTAATCTCCAGGTATTTTGCTTCAGAAAGCAGTTTTGTGCTGTGTTTTATGCAGGCATGGATACCATGATATCTTTGCTCCTATCAACAGATCCTTTATAAGTCAGGGCAGTTTTATTTACGAAAGAGGCTGTGGCTGCAATCCTCCTTCCTGCATGAAATCAGAATGGGGTTCATGCAGACAAGATCAGATAGTAGAAAACAACTCTGTGAGACCAACCAAGGAAAGTTAATTAAATGCAGTCGTTGGCGCAGAGCGCGTCGTTAAGCCAAGCCTGGCTGACAAAACCTCCCCTCTCCTCGGAAGACAGCTCTGATGTCTGCAGCAGTGTTTGGAGAAGCTGTGCTTCTGAAAGGCTGGGCAAACAGCACTGCACAGCTGAATCAATATTGCTTTATGTATGCAAGCCGCACTTGTTAGGAGGGACTTAGGTTAGCACGGTGTGGCAGAGGCACCCAGGCATTGCAGTACAAAATCGTGAACCTTTCCAAGCCCGGATCTCTGCAGGTAGTTCAGAATATTAATGCATTTTCTTCCTCAGCTCCAGAGCTCCTTGAACATTTGGAGTATAAGTGATTGCGTGTGCTGGTGATGAGCCATAAACGGTAAACATGTGCTACAGATGATAAGGGAGAGAAGTCAGGATCCCTGAAATGGTTTCTTGAACTAAATGTGTTATGCTTTGAGGTTTTCCAGACCATTGCCTGGTAGGGTGGGATTGCAGAGGGAGATGCACCTCAGCATTGTTAAACTAACAGATGTCTGCGGCAACATCTGCGTTGGCAAGGCACTGCTCTCCAAAAGCTATTGAATTTTTGTCAAATGACGCTATAAATCTGGGCCTAAGCTTTCTGAGCCCTTTCAGTGAGCATCAGTGCTTGTTATAACTAAATTCAGACTTCTGAGGAGTAACACTAAGTGGTAACTCTGCATGTACTTTATGTATTGTCTGTAGAGAATTTATGTGCCTTTCAAGGATATAGGGATTCTTCACAAATAACTGAAGTTCAAATACCACCTGATGTCTTTTCTTACCCAAATTCTGAAGTAAATGAGTGTGTGTGTATGTTTGCATTGGGATGTTTTGTTGTTGTAAAAACCTGGCCAATTATTTAAATATTAGGATTTGCTCCCAGTGGTTCTTCTGTACCAGTTCAATGAAGTAACAAGACTTTTTTTGTCTGACAATTTACTTACTCAAAACATAATTTTTTTAATATGTCCAAATAAGTCACAATCTTGTGTGGCACTCAAGAAGAAGTAAAGCTTAAAATCTGCCATTGTATCATGGTATTCAGAAAATCCACATCTTTAGAAGTATTTACACACTTCATTCAACTGAAATCAAGGGTGAGTTAACACCTAAATATTCCTGAGACTCTGTGGATATGAAGATGGTGTCTCAGTTATTAGGAATACTTTATAATTTTTAAGGAAATTTATACACCTTTTGAAACAAGTTTGTGGAAATAAACACCAGGATTGAAATTGGCTCATTTTTTTTTGTTCCCCGCACTTGTTCTTCGTTAGGATGTGTGACAGTTGTGTAATAGGAACAACTACATGAAATGGAGATAGTTTGGGAGGAAGACTTCCAATTTCCCATTAGCCTGTGTTCTGTTGTGTGTTAGCTCTCACTTCCCCTGAACTATTTGAGGTACTGGA